CTTATGCTTCATTCTTGCATTCTATACCTCATACATTACATATGTTTTAAAACTAAGAAAATTTTTTAAAAATTAATATGCCAAAATCAAATATGTTAATTAAGAAAAGTAGGACGTTTTTCTGTAACATAGAAGTATTTAAATCAGTGTTTCACAAGAAAAACATTGCATTTATATTATCTGCTGCTTCAAGTGTCCTTGCTTAAGAAAATAGGTTATTAATAAAGCAACGTAAGACTAGAAAGAGCCCCTACCTCATTTGACACTTACAGTAAAAATTGTAGCTACTGTTTCTGATTTTATATATCCAAAAAAAGTATAATTTAATGACAGAAAATATTTAAAAAAAAATAGCTAACCTTTCGGAAATCTTGACAAATATTAACTTAAAAATGTCTAGCAGCACTTCCTGTTCTCTGTAGTGCCAAAAAGTAATTTGACAGACTAAGGAAGGATTATCTATTTAATGCACTAGATAAATTTGGATCCAGAAACAGATTTTGTAAATGGATTAAATGCTTACTTCTAGAAGCATGGCTTACTGGGCTAAATATCAGGACTGAAATCCCCACAATCCTTAAACAACAGCTCTGCATCTTTCTCACCCTTGTTCTTCTTCCTTCAAAAGGATGGATAGTTCAAAGTTTTTCAGGCTAGATTTTGGTAATTGCTCTCCAGCTGAGACCTTTGTTTGCATGGAATTCAAGGTTTCTGATGAGATGTGCTCTCTACGATTCCCTTCCCTTCCCTTCCCTTCCCTTCCCTTCCCTTCCCTTCCCTTCCCTTCCCTTCCCTTCCCTTCCCTTCCCTTCCCTTCCCTTTTGTCCTTCATTTAAATGACATCTTCAGGAGGTTAATACAAGTTAAATAGCGCTATCAATGCTAGTTAGCCTAGCACTATGGAATCACCAGGNCTTCCCTTCCCTTCCCTTCCCTTCCCTTCCCTTCCCTTCCCTTCCCTTCCCTTCTCTTTTGTCCTTCATTTAAATGACATCTTCAGGAGGTTAATACAAGTTAAATAGCGCTATCAATGCTAGTTAGCCTAGCACTATGGAATCACCAGGGAATATTGAAGTTCCTGCTGTTTGGTTTTTACAATTGAGAAATTCTAAACTGAAAGGATTTGGGGTAGATATAGATCTTTGCACAACAAAATTCTTGTTTGGAACTTTGGATTTGTTAATCCATTTAAATATTAATAAATACTGGGAAGACATATTTATTTAAAAAGTAAGGAAGGCAGCCCTTCTAGAAAGGCAGAACTTTTAAGTTAAAGATAAAAAAAGTCTTTATCTGCTGCCCAGGAGATTAAAATAACATTGTAACTATTCAGTATCTCAGAAAAAAAAAAAAAAAGGAAACCAAAGGAATGGTTTGCGTATTCAATCTTCCTATCTTATTTAAAAATTAAATCATATTGAAGTAGGACTGAAAATCAGAAAAGAAGGGAAATTGCAAAGGAAAAGTGATGAGCATTAACTGTTTTTTAAGATTGTTCAGCTTGGCTGTGCAAAAGTGCCAATTTGAAAATTTGTCTGTACAGAATTCTAAAATACAGCCCTTGAAAAGTGAGGACTTTTTGGCTTTATGTTTTTCTTCAAATCTTTAATTGATGACTCTACACATGAGAGGATAGAAGGGTATCATTTACAAAATCTGATGTGGCAGAAAAATTCCTGTAAGCACTTTTAGATGGTTTTGGCTACTATTGCAGACTGGGAGAAGGACCAGTCAAGCAATTAAAATAATGCCATAATCTAACCAGTTTATTTTTACCATCAGGCTCAGATTATTTTGTATCTCATAACTTCTGGTAAAAACTGTTGTCAATTATTTTACAAACAGCCTTAAATCAAAAGCATATAAGGTGTTAGCAGCAGAAAGAAAGGATAGAACATAATAGACACTACTAACAGCAGGGACACTGTGGGTAATGTTAACAAAATTGTGTATTAGTACTGCACACTACTCAAAAAGAATAAAAGGTTCCTGAATATGTCAGTGAAACTTGGGAATCATGAGCCGAAATTTCTTAAAAGTGGTAAAACCAAATGCTGCAAATATTTGAAAGACTAAATCAGGATTTTGAGAGCAACAAATTATGGCTGGATGCAAGCATGAGACCAACATAAAAAAATAAACAAAAGAAGTCAATTAAACTAAGATTGGATGATAAATAGCATAGAATCAATCATCTTTGTGAGTCTGCAAAGCAATGTTTACTTAGAAGTAATCTTTTTTGATGTCAAATTAATTTTTCTCCTGACAAATGTTTCATTCACTTACACATCAGTGAATTAGAGATGACAAGAAACACACTAGCAAGGAGTTATGTTTTTAAATTTCATCTAAACTTAAAATTGATTAAGGGCACATTACTGTAATTCTCTGTCTCAACACAATTGATGGATAAGATTTATCATCATAATTTTATGGGCTGTCCATATCATCCCAAGACTCCCATTCTGTATTTTGTGAGTCTGTATATTGTGCAAGACTTATTATTCTTGTTTAAGCAGTTCTAAAGGATCAACTGGGAGTGTTGATAAAAGAATTAAAACAGTAGCTGGTAGCTTCAAAGTACATGCATTCCCTTCAAAAACATTTTCAATGGTATAAGATGTTTGAAAATTGTTTTCATCAAAAATAGAAGGGTGCTGGCTTTATTAGTAACAAATATATTTCTCTGCTCTGGATTCTGCAGTTGTTTCTAAGGACTCTGTGGTCAGCAGATAAAGAATCTTGAATGAGTGTCAACTATCTTCTGAAAATCAACACAAACATTGGTTTAAATTGCACTTGCTTGAATGAGACGGACAGAGACAGATTAACTTCCCTCTTTAAAGTACTAAGAATAGTCTTTTATATTGATTAGCATATATTGTATATACTAGATTTTTATGGGTTTTGAAGGCAAAAAAATATCTGTGACCTGAAAATTACAACACCTCCTCTCTTCTCCCTCCCACCATCAAAAAAAAAGCCCAAAATAAGAACTGAAAACAAAAAGCAGAAGGATATTTAGGCTAGTTGGCTCATTCTGTATTCTCAAAATAGAGTGAGACTTAGTAGTGGCAATATTTTCCTAGGCATTATAGGGTAAAAAAAAAAGACTATGAAAAGCGACTGAGGTCTGCTCATGATAATAACATTTTAAACATGATCATGTTCAAGATATAGGCTGTTAGAATTGTGGTCTTACAGATTAATTCAGATGGGCAGAAATCTCTGGAGCAATCCCCTTGTCAAACCAAGGTCAACTTCAAAGTCAGACATAACTTCAAATTTAGATCAGATTCCTCAATGTCTTTTTGAATCCTGTTTTGAGTAGCTCTAAAGATGGCTGTTCCACAGTCACTTTGAGTACCTGCATAGCTAGAGAAAAAAATTGTAATTTATAGAAAAAGCTTGTAATACTTAAAGAAAACTCTCCTTATTTCCTCCTCCTTTATTACTGATAATGCCATTTTTTTGATACCTTAGGAAAGGAATTGCATTTATTTTGTCTATATAGCTCCAGATGCTTACATACTTAGAGATCATAGAAATGTCCAGTGTATTCATTCCATGGAGCTCAATGGCCATAATTCTGAATTGCTGTTTTCAGAATAGTTTTCCTCATGCTTTCTGCACTCTTTACTGTATAGGACAAAAATGACAAAGAGGAAGACAGCATAATCAAACCATACAAAACCTCATATGATAAGAAACTATGATTATATATTATATTGTCAAGTTCTTATCGATCCACTTAAAGGCACATTGCCCTTTAATATTAATGTGCTTAGCTACAAATGTCATTGGAAAAGACTATAATACTGAATGTGCAATGACACAGAATGTGCGTGTCTACTATGAACAAAACCAGAGGCAGTAGTGAAGAAATGTAACCTTAATTATGTCATCTGCTTGTCAGCAAGCTCTCAGCTTCTGCTATTATGAAAAATAGAGATTAAGGGTATTACCAGGCCAAAAGGATACTATTCTTCTTGGAAAGATATCACTGTGAAATACAAAAAAAAATAATTTTTGTTGCAGACAGGAAAGGCAGGTAAATTATACAAGTTTACTTCAAAAATATTAATATCAGGATGCTCTTGATATATAATGAGAAGTAATAGCATGATAGCTTAAAACAGTGAAGAGTTTATTGATTATTTTGTCTGCCTGTAATTTATTTTCTTATAAAATATAAAATACAGCTTAGAAGGAATAACTTTTATTCTGAGGAGATGCTGAACAGAAACACAACTATCTGTGCACAAACCACATTTTTCAAGAGTTAGGGGCTCTGAAGAAGTGGAGATTTTCAGACTGTGCTGGGTTCAGGTGCCCAGGGCGCTGCAGGGGTGGCCTCCATAGGAAAAAGCCACAATTTCCCCTATCCAGCTGGTTCCAACAGACACATCAAGGGCATAGTTGAGCTCAGCATAGCATCACCTCTGGGAAAAAATATTCAAAATTCAGCAGAAAATGCTGGAGGGAGTGTGTGGGGTGTGCTGGAACAACACTCTCCTCTTCCCCTTGGGCTGCACTATGACCTGAGAAATGCTCATTTGGCCTTGGCTTTGATGAACAGCACCTGGGCTAAGCTACTCTTGAGCTTTTCAGAGACACTGTCTGTTCTCAGGAACTTGTGCTACCCAACAAGCCCTCTTTAAACTTTTGTTCCATTCCAGGACTAATTTTGGCAAGGGGGTCCAATCTGAGCCGTGTGACTCAAAGGAGATTCTCCCTTTTTCCCTTTTATCCTTACCCTTTCCTACCCTTACCCTTTCTCCATCTTAAGCTTCTGCATAGGTCCCTTTACATTAATTTTAATTTTAGATTGATTGATTTTAACTTTTAGCCTGATTTTCTCTCTAGGCCTTAAACATGCAGTAAGTAATAGAGTGAACCTTGCCAATGAACTTTGCCTTGCTTTCACTTTAATATTAAACCTATTTTGCCAAGATTTACCAGTGAGTCTTTGAGTGATGTGAAACACTCATTCACTACAGGGGGAGAAACAAAGCTACAAGAGATGGAAAAAAAAAATAGTGAGAGAAGACAGAGAAGAAGGAGAGTCATCCATTGGAGCAGGTAAAACATGTCAGGAGAAAGGGGCAGAAGAGAGAAACTGCTGTGTATAACCCACCTGTTTCCAGGCTACTCAGCTGGCGGAGAGGTAGAGGAGTCTGGAGGGATGCTGATCTTGGGAGAGTGGGGAGGGCAGATATTGCTTTAATGTTCTTTTCCTTTGTCTTTATCTGAAACAATTTTAATTGGCAATAAATTAATTTTCCCCAAATCTAGGTTTTGTCTATGTTTTGTCCATGACAGCATTTAGTGAGCAATCTCTTTCCTGTTCTCTTCCCTTGCCCCACTGAGGAGTGGTTGTGATCAAGCAGCTAGTTGGGAGTTTGGCCCTTAGCCAAGGCCAGCCTGGCAAGATGGGGAATTTAGGTTTCCCTTACCCAAAGTCTTCTCAGATTTACATCAAAAAAGCAATTTTTTTAAGACTACACATGGAATGCTGAACCAGTTAATTGCTGCTCCTAAGTGAAAATCAAAACCCAAAAGAAATGAGAGGTCATTAAGTTGTAGTGGTATACAACAGATGCATGACCTTGAGCTCAGACTAAGAAACTGTCTGGATTGCCACTGTTGATTTGTTTTGGTTTTGGTTTTTTAAATTGCCTGTTACTTTATTTTTCTTATTTTGTCCTCTTCATATCAATATATAAATATAGTATTATATGTATATATATATATATATTTATACAATGTATAAATGTATTAATATAGTCTGAGATGTCAGTAGGAAGTTAAGGATATAGCCAATGACTAGCAAGTTATTTTGTATTATTGAAAGACTTAGAAAATACTCAGTTAACACTACAAAGGAGTCATTCTCAGTGATCCTTGGGAACTCCTTCCAAC